AAGACAGGAAAATGTGTTTAGAAATTGACTCACTCAATTTTTTTTTTCCAGCACGAACATGGAACTTGTCATGAGCATGATAGCCAAAATTACAAAAAACGCTTCCCTGCATTCGATCATGACGTTTTGTATCCAATGGATTGTGTATCCTCCTGAATAATGATATACTGACGTATCTTCAATATACAGCACCGATTTCTTTTCACAAAATGAACAAGTACAGAATAAAAGTATAAATTTAAACAATTTTTCTTTCTAAACATATCCAGCAGCACGCAATGAGAGAGCTATTTGCAGGAGACGCGACACAAAAATAAAACGCATTATGTCTATCTGGTTTGGGATCCTTCGTGATCTGGCTTCCAGTTTTGAGATCGCTTGGTGGTTGCTTTCTGTGTCCTGTTCTCCCAAAAGCCAGAGAGCAAACATGTGTTGCTGTATGTGTGGAATACAGTGTTGCTATGAATTCTATGATATGTTTTGCTTTGGGATAACTTTTCGGGGGAAAAGCGTCTGAATGCGGCCGTAATATGTAATTGTCGATAGCTACGGAGATCTCTGGAAGTGAAAATTGTTTGACTGGTTTGAGATGTGATATTGCGGTGTGGACATGGCTAAATCTTTCATTGAGAAGATTGAATATTTCTTCCAGTCCACTTGCTTCCTCAATTTTTGCAGTTTCGAGGGAGTATTTTCTTGTTTCTGTATAAATTGTGTTTGTTAGTTCCTTGCATACATGGGGATGGAGGGAGGTATGCTTGGGGTGTTTTGCGATGTTTGCTTGAAATGGATCTTTGTATGCAGCCACCCAAGCGGTGCCGACAAAACGGAGAAGGAATTCACATTTATGCTATTGTCAAACACACACCACATGTTCCTACTGGTGTCAACGGTCTTTTTGCGGCATGAATTGACGTGACGTAATACCATATCTCCTTTTGATAGATGAAATCACGGTAAAACACTTGACACAAACGTTAGCGGAAAACGACTGTCCATTTTCGTCCCTCACATCAATCCCATAAACCAAGAGAATATCTCCTGCCATTGTCTTACATAATCGGGGCTTTCTATACTTTTTTGTTTGACAGTTAAATTTAAACGCCAACAAACCCGACAAAGTTCATTCAGAGACTCTATGCCTCTCATATGTGTGACCCAATGCAGTTTATAACAATTTTTACTTAGGAACACAATTCACTAACTGATTGCCAGTCACTGCAAAGTGTTGGAAAAACAAAATTCACATCATTAGAAAATATGATTTGATGGCTTAGGAACACAATTCCTAACACCGCGCAAACAGAAATAAACTCCATTGTTTCATTTTGGAATGATTTGTAATTAAATTTGAAGAGATCACATTATTAATGGTACTTCCGATCACTGAACACTCACAATTTAAAACTGTTACAGTGTTGTGAAGGAAGGGGGTGGGGGAGGAGGAAGATAGAGTCTATGTGAATGATGGCCGGTCAGTTCTATAAACCACGAGCCGCCACTGCTGTTATTATTCCCAAACGAATTAGTGAAAACTGTTGAAACTTTCACAAGATACCAAGTAGACGTAGACGAAGCGAAATTGATGAAGAAGTAGATTCTAGGGGTAGAGCAAGCATCATTTTAAGGCTCATGAAATTAGGGGAAGAAACGCGTTTTGATAAGGAGAAGATAGGACAGCGCTGTGCACGAGATGACCCGACTTGACGCGTGAAATTGCAAGTCACCGTGGCCTACCGCGGGGGGGGGCGGGGTAAGTAAAAGATCGCTGAGACGGAATTTTGGACGCCGTGTGCCAAAAGGAAGTTTGAGAAATTTAATGAAAACATTCTCTGTGCAAGTTATGACTTTCAGCAGGTCGTATTATACATCTTTATGTCTCAGGAGAGTGTCATGATTTATAAAAGTTGGTTATCGAACTTCAACCCGACTTTCTATAACATTAGAAG